GGAAAATAGCCTGTGACCTTTTTAAGGGAAGACTACATTAAAACACACACAATCTACCAAAATTAAAGTTGTATAGACAACTGAAAACCTGACATTGCCTAATTTCAAGCACTTGACTTTGGAGCCTTAATCGCTGATGTCTTTTTGTGGATAATTTTCTAGATAATTGTTAAAGGACTAAAACAAAGACGTTTATTTCATACAACTGCAATCTTCCCCTTTCAGAATCATGTATCATCATTAGGGTTTGACTTCTGAACCATCAGCTCAGACATCTACCACAGGACTAGATGTATTAACTGGAAGCATGAGAAAGTTGATATCCCCAGGGTTCAGAAGGCAAAAGGAAATTGGCTGTTAGTGTCAAGTCCTAAGTCAAGCTAATGGTCAGGGGAGTCCAGCTGGTCCAATTCTTTCTTCCTCACCTTCTAGAATATGGAGGAGCTTCTGGCCTTTATGGTAGCCTCACCAAAGGGAATAATGTTGTATGGTCCATCACCTTAAGTCCATAGGAGATGGTTGGAAGGGGGAGCCTGAATGCGCTCTCCTCTCCTGTCACTGCTTCTGTCTCTCCCAGACATTCCCATGTACCATGAACTACTAGTTTTGGTGGTGGTATTGGCTCAGCACTTTATAATGCATTACGTTACTATTTTCCTTAAGAATGCAAGTGAGAAGGAAAAAAAATCTGATCTTTACTTCATAATTCAGCTAAACCTGAACATAATTTCATGGAACAAAAAAGGCATTTCTATGACCATGTGTGTTCTTTCTGCTCTATTTCAAAAAGCTTCTGCAAACAACTGAAGCATTAGAGAAAAATAAGTTTCAAGAATGTAATGTAATACAACTAATTCAAGTAACTCCAATAACATTTTTTCCTACTAGTCCTCATTATGGTCCTTGTCCCTTTTCTCCATAATATGGATATCATTACCGCTAGAGGTCTTACACCGTCAACCAGATATCCATATATATTTAAATACAGTCAAGACCTCTTCTATTGACTGCCTGGTAAATATTGTTCAAAGGCATGGGATATATATAATATGCTAGAAATAGACCACAAACATCAGTTCAAGAAAGAGTTATATGTTAGGTGTTCCAAATCCTGCGATATTTAGTATTTTTCTTCAAGTCCCAAAACCTGAATCAGATGAGAATCTTAGCTTTCATTTTTCAAAATAAGTTTCTAAGCTTCCTGTTTGCAAAGAAGAGTTTGAAAATATGAATCCTAAAAAAAACTGAAAGTTTTTGTTTGTTTTAAGTCTTGATGTCTAAGCCAGCTTCAGGATGTTTGAGAGATGACATTATCTTTCAACCAGTGATTCTCAACCAGGTTGTCACAAGACCCTTAGAAAGTCTAAGGAGATAAGGGATGTGTGATAAGTATGAAGTTAAGCAGATAAGGACAGGCTCAGGCTTTCCCTGCCTGGACATTCTCCTACCCCCACTGTCTGGCTATTCTGCAAGGAGGTTAGTACTGTAATTAAAGAAAATAGTTTTTGAAACAGGGTGCTGCTCAGTTCTCAAGAGTTATGGAGAAGGACCTTGAGTCTAATAAGAGGGAGCGGGGCTTGAATTTTAAAGGTCTGAAAACCACTGCTTTAAATACATGAAGTTAAACTGTATATCCAGCTAAGCTGTGCACGGCATGCTCTCACAGGAATGGTTCAAACCAGAAACACCATGAAAATATGGGGAAAAAAATAGCATGCAACTGGGTGATGAATTATAAGTGCACAAATTCAAGAAAGATAAATTACAGAAAGTAAAAAACAACTATTTATATTCCTTTGTCAAGAGATTAAGACACATCTCTAGTTTCTTTCAGCTGCTGCTGAAGTATTTTTGTGGATAGTTTTCTAGATAATTTTTAAAGGACTATAACAAAGACATTTATTATGTACAACTGAAATCTTAGTTTCAGATCCGAGATGAACATAAACCCACCCATAAAACTGCAGAGAGACTTCTTAAACAAGTATGCCAGCCTCCAACTACACTACAACCTTCACAATATAAACATAATTTTCAGCATGTGGGGACATGCTCTTTTTTGCTTATTAGATGGTGTTTTCATGTATACATGTAAAAGTCAGTGCGCACTGCAGTATATCAGTAGGGATAGCAATTCTAACATCAATGACTTAGTTCAGGAACTCATGCAACAGCATATGATGCATTAACCTTTCCTGCAAATTATTGCATCTTCTAAAAAAAAGAAGACATTTACTGGTTTAGTATTTCTTTAGGGTATAAGCAGAATGTTTGTGACTTGACAGTTCTCATCTAGGTTTACTTCACTTAATGTAACAGCAATATTCATTTATTAGCTCCCCCTTAGAAAAATTCCACAGCTCAAGAAGTCTGATTCTAGCACTAATCTAGAAAAATGACACTTTCATCACCAACCACCAGTGAGTATAACTTATTCCAGTATTTTAAGAAAGACTTACTGCATTCTGCTACACAAACTATTTCATTTTCCTGTCTCTTGTTCATTGTACTTTTAATTAAAAAAAGAAAAAAATCCTAGGGAGTTGCTTCCTTCCCAGAATAAGCACCTGTTTTTTGTTTGGTGTTTTTTTGTTGGTTTTTGTTGTTGTTGTTGTGTTGTGTTTTTGGGGTTTTTTTGGCGGGGGGGGGGGGGGGGGGGGGGGTGGTGGTGGTGTGTGTGGGTTGTGTGGGGGGGGGGGGGGGAGGGGTTAGGTATTTCCTCTCAGCTCAAAAAGGAGTCTAGACTAGCAGAGATGGGTGAAAGATTGCAGGTCAACCTTTCTTTTCCCCAAGCTGAATGAGAACATCTACATTATGTCAACCAGACAACCTTAATACTCTGGAAACAAGATGTGTGCAGTATATTGTAAGTGCTCAAGTCTGCCACTAATGTTCTTTCAACATCAGTTAACTGCGTGAGGGAACCACATGGTCACAATTCAAATGGCACATGGTAAAACATAACTAATAAATTGAAGCAACATTCCATATGTTATCACTTTCTGGTCTGTGCAACATGTGAAACAAACATTGCACAATATCAGGGTATTGCAGAACATTTCAGTCTAAGAATATAAAAGAGGAGAATATCTAATATTAAACTTCAATTGCACTTGCAATAAATCTTCGGAAAGCTATGAAAAAATCACAGTACATCAATGCACTATAAGCCTCTAACTTTTCTGAAAAATGGGCACTCTCTTACAAGTGCAAAGATTTAGAAAAGACTAACAGATGATGTGTAATGAAATATCCTGATACTTTGCATTTTTGCAATGGAAGATTTTTGGTAGCAGCTTAGAAATCATAGTACATTTTCAAGATAATGAAAAAGATTATGTTTATTTCTGAAACTGCTGTAGTTTTTTTCGCAATGTTGTTTAAACTTCAAATTTGATGTAAAAATGCAATATCCTCTTGGTTTTCTACTCACACCAATTTATCTACTTTTTATGGACAATATTACACAGAGGTCATGAAACACAGTACAAGAGAATGCTATAATGCATTATTTTCTGTTCTACAGAAAACTGTAGTGTAAATATTAAAACGTAAGGCAGATTGCCTTCAGAGGCACACCTAAATTGATTTGAGAAATATCAGGTAAGCAGTAATTATTTAAACCTAATCAGTGCAAGGCACTGATTCCTCCCCTGGCTGCAAAGAAAACCAATAGTCATACTGTAGAAAATGTACCTAAGGTAAAGAAAAGATATACAGAATGAACACTTAAACAGTCTTCTCCAAATTCCTGAGGCCATTTCTCAAAATACAGTGCATTTTTCAGAACAGGTATGGCACTTAAATCATTAAGACAATTTCAGCTCATACCCAGAAGCTCTGAATGTAAAAACAACATCAAACACGCAACAAAACTTTTTCAAAGACGCTAATCTGCCCTGTCATTAGATAAAGTGGAGCTAGGTCAGGCATCTCATAAAACATTCTTCTCAATTACTAGTTCTAGGAGAAATAGTAATAAATCAAGCTATTGAAGTCTTGATTATAAGGCATGAAAAATCCTACAATCTGAACAAATGCCAAGAAGAAACAGAGGCAAAGATGCAAGCTAATGTTTAACTCTCAGGGCACAGACTTTATAAATACAAAACAACCTCAAACTTCAGTATCAGGTGGGAGATGGACATTCTCTACCAGCATAGAGTAACATAAATAAAAGACCCTGAATGCAACACCTGCAAATATCTAATAGGTTTGCTAATTCAGCGTACTACACTGAACATTAAAATTAAAAATTTGTATTTTTTAAAGACATTAATAAAATTTGAAGGCAAAACAATCAGAGGGAAAAAAACAGCCAATACATTAAAATACTAAAAAAGAGAAAAAACGCTGAGACCACATACCTAATTTGAAATAAGGTTTTAAAAAAAAAAAAAAAATCAAACTATACAATTTTAGGGAAAAATAGGAAAACTCCTATTCCCTTTAATGGGGCTGGGTATTTAATATCCACTATATGAGTTGCATAATATTGTAATTTTGGTAACAATTCTTAAAAGAAAAATCAACAACCTAGAACAACATTTCCAATGTTGCAGTTATCAAGTGGAGAACAATTTTAAATATTCTTCACAAGAGTGTTTACAATTAACAGTTATTTAATCATTTCATACCAGTGGTCTTTTTTAAGTTATTTCATTTCCTCTTCAGAATCCATGGTAATATTACAGTTGTGTTGGTTCTCTCCTCTCTCAACTATTTTAAATTAAACAAATTTGATTTTCAACAGATGTCATGCATACTATTTTTTTAACATTTTTACCAATAACCAGCAAGACAAATATATGAATTCTAAACCCAGTACAGTATATTTATGAAAATTGATAAATATTTTTCCTTCAGAAATTTCCAACAGCTGCTCCAAGCTTTTTGTTTGTTCAGTGTAAACATTTGATTACTTTTCTTGTGAAGCAACTGTTTTGGAGACACAGACGGATACCTGAAACTATGTCTTATCATTTACAGTGGATACTTACCCTAACAGGGGGACTCCGTGCTTGTACTCTTTGCTGCTGTCCAACTTGAGAGCCCTGTGGGTCCTTTGAACCACAATTAACAACAGCATTGCTCTGGACTCTTAATGAATTTGTGCCACCAGTCCCACCACCAGTACCAGGTTTTCGGGGTCTCTGTTTGATGCCATCCAGTAGTCTAACCAGCAAAATATTGCTAGGAAGTTCATCAACACTGCAGTCCACTAAAGTCCTGCACTCTGGGCATCGAAGCTCATTTCGAGAACTCACAATGCCAAGCAAGCAGCGTTTGCAAAAGGTGTGTTGGCAAGGCAAGACTTTTGCAGAAGCATCAAGACGTTCTAAGCAAACAGGACACTCCAACAAATCCAACAAAGCTGATTCATCCATTTTTCATCTATTTCAGCAAAAACAAGCCTTGACAAAATTCATCTCTGTTCTGAGCGCTTCAAGGGTATCAGGTTACGTCCATGCCTCTTCAGACTCTACCCTGAAAGTCTTGGGGAAAAAAAGAAAAGGAGTAAAGCATTAATAATCTAGAAAAAATAATTAGCTCTTAAAAATCAACAAAAGTATTTCCTCTGAAAAAATACTGCATGGAGAAGCATAATAAATTGAGAGATTTCAAGTCTAATTCAACCCAAATCCCTAAAGGTATTTAGGCATTTAGTTTGTAGATTAAATTATTATAACGGAAAGTTTCCTGTAAATTTCAAGATTTATGAAAAGCAATAAAACACACAACACCACTGGTCACTACAGTGCCTGTCTTATCTGCATTACTCAGCTGCTTAGCTCAACCCTGAGGATCAACAGGAACAATAAGGGTTTTTTTAAACTGCAGTTCTGTCTGCTTTTCAGTTCTAACAAGCTCCAGGTTCTCTCAGGCCATTTGTTTAAGATGTTATCCTTTGTAGAGCAGATTAATAAAGAATTAAATACGGAAAACAAGATTAATAAATAAACGTGTGTAGTTTACAGTTTGTTTCAAATTAGCAATTAACCCCTTGAAATGAAAAAGGAACCAAAATACGACTTCAAACCTGCAAGCTATTCTCTTTAACAACAAGGTCCCACAGAAAGTAGCTAGAACAGTGATTCTCAATTCTGGTATGCTTTGAGATCCTTTCCAGGGTGATGCAGGGTGCCACACAATATTAGCAGTGTGCGGTGTCCAAAGTTGATTCACAAGATAAACCTAGAAGTTTCAAATTGGAATTCATAGCATCAAAAACTTGCTTCCCCATTGTGCAAAGGACTCTGAAAGGCAACAGAAGAATCGTTCTAGTATTTTTTCTGTAGTAAACAAAACAACAGCGAAGACTAAAAGCTGGCACCTTCGGAGGGGTGCCTTGAGTCTAAGGAAGTTGAGAACAACAGAGCTAGCAACATTAATACACTACAGAATTAGATCTTATACAAGCTAACTCACAAAGCTTCAGGGAAGCAGAAATGGAGCACATCTTGCATTTTATTATGGAAAGCAGCCACTCATTCACAAGCCTTAAAGTTCATTTCTTCATTAAGCAAGACGATATATCATAAGGCTGGTAATATATTCCAGAAATACCACAGAACTATTACCAACATCATCTGATGGCAGATCTACTACTGGAATATAACCGGTGGAACACGAAGGCAATGCAGCCATTAACAGAAGCAAAGGCGGGATTCAACCAGTTTAATTTATACAGCAAGCTGCTAGAAAAAAGGAAAAAGAAAACATTCGGCAGGAAGTCAGATCAAGGCTGCTCAACAGGCAAGAGCCACTTATTTCTCTCAGCATCCCTTACTGAGGGTGCACGGATAACGCATCCACAACCAGAGATTACAGGCGCATGCCATGGACACCTTTTGAGGGGCAAGCTGGGAGCAGATAGCCAGCAGCCCCTGATGCAGAGGGATGGGGAGGGGGGGCTTCATGTAGGGCTGCTGGAACCTCCTCCCTCCCCCCCAGGGTGGCACCTTGTAACTGGGGCTTGGCTAGAGTTCATACGGGGGCTACAAGGAGGAAGACGGGGGCTGGCAATGGGGGGGTTGCACTGGAAAGAACTTGGAGGTCAGACCCTGGAGGAAGACACGCGTGTGTGGTGTGTGTGTGTAGCTACATGTTTGTGTACCTCTGTCTTGTATGTGTGTGTGTGTATCAGAGGCGTGCATCAGGGCGTGCATCAGTGTGTCTCCACATGTTTGTGTCTGTGTCTTGTGTACCTACACACGTGTGTGTGTGTGTGTGTGTGTGTGTGTGTGTATGTATTAGGGGTGTGCATAAGGACGTGTATCAGTGTCTCCACATGTTTGTGTCTGTGTCTTGTGTACCTACACGTACGTGTGTGTGTGTGTGTATCAGGGGCGTGCATCAGGGTGTGTATCAGTGTGTCTCCACATGTTTGTGTCTGTCTCTTGTGTACCTACACGTGTGTGTGTGTGTGTGTGTGTGCGTGTGCGTGTGCGTGCGCGCGCGCGCGCGCGTGCGTGCATCGGGGGGGTGCATCAGGGTGTGTGTATCAGTGTGTCTCCACATGTTTGTGTGTCTGTGTCTTGTGTACCTACACACGTGTGTGTGTGTGTGTGTGTGTGTGTGTGTGTATGTATTAGGGGTGTGCATAAGGACGTGTATCAGTGTCTCCACATGTTTGTGTCTGTGTCTTGTGTACCTACACGTACGTGTGTGTGTGTGTGTATCAGGGGCGTGCATCAGGGTGTGTATCAGTGTGTCTCCACATGTTTGTGTCTGTCTCTTGTGTACCTACACGTGTGTGTGTGTGTGTGTGTGTGCGTGTGCGTGTGCGTGCGCGCGCGCGCGCG